CCACTTATTTCAGTGAAAATCATTAAAATAATATTGGTGTCAACTTGTCTTTAGTTTTGGTATGGAGGTATGTTAAATGGCTATGACAAACCATAAAAGGAGAAATTGATAAATAAAATGAACAGTTGATATTAGGGATCAATTCAACTTGTCGCTTATGTACTGTGATTGCGTATTACTCCGTATTATATCCTTTTCACATGAAAGGGATTGACCACGTCGGGTCGGGTGGACACTTAAGCTTTGGAAACCTCTTGGAAGATTCGGATTTCTGTCATCCACAGCTGTGCTTCAAAGATATCATTGCACTCCATAACATCTTTAATCCCGTTCGAATCTTTAAAGGCCGGTTAGGTTCTGGGTTCGAATCCCGGCAACTGCGATGAGAGATTACTATGCTAAAAATGCATAGGGTCTCTGCAAGTACCGGGGACGGAGCCCCACTCTCTATCTGTCACATTGTGATTATAGTTCAATTTACATCCTCTCATCGTGCCGTCCGATCGGTGTTGGGGGGCCCTCAGGGATGGGGTGTATCCTTTTTTTAATCCAGTTCTCCAATAAAAGTGTTAAAACCACACCCCGGTTATTTAATAGTTACTCTGTTTTTGAATTTAAAAATTTGAATGTACCCTTCTCTCATTTTACGATTTTACTTTTCTTATTTTCCTTTTTAAGTTCTTCCAAAATAAGTATCACATTTTTTTAGAAAAAAATATGTGAGGTTGATAATTCATCAAACTATGCCCACATTGCCTCACAAGACCACAAGAAACAATGCATAGAAGAAGCAAATCTATTTTCTGTATTATTCAAAATAACCCCACGTCTCTAAGGTAAGGGATGCCGATATTCTTGCATTGGCTATCCATCAAAAAGGAAGTATTCTAAAGTTTAAACAAATCCGATCACTAATAAATAAAGGACAATTACGTAACAAAAATAAATAGGTAGTCTAGAATATTCCAAAAATAGCGCCAAGATCCAATAATTCTACATCATTTCACTTTATTATACTCAAATCACAATCATAACTTTTACTTTTTCAATTACTTTATTAATAATTGTGTCAAGTTAACCAAAATATCCCAAAATATCCCAAAATTAACTTAGTTCTATCCCTTTTCAAATATCCCAAAATAAATTTCCTTTCTTTTTATAGTAAAGAATTAGTAATCCAAATCTCTCTCTCCTCCGTACGTACAACTTTCAATCAAAACATGAGTTAATATGAGAAATCAAAACATGGAAAAACAAAACATGAGTTAATGCCCTCGTTTGGTTTTCGGCGGTTTGATGCCGAATCGCTGCTAAATGCAGCGTTTGCAGGTATAAAACAATCAACGTTTTCTTGAAAACGCTATTAACCAAACAGGGCCAATATGAGAACGGATGGAGTGAATGAATTTTTTTTTTGGAAGAAGTATATGAAGTTAAGTATACTAAAACTCTAAGAGATGATGAAAAAGTAAGAATAAAAGTAAATAGAAAACTTGAAAACTAAGAAAACTAAACAAATACGGAGTAATATGGAGCATTAAGGATGTTTTCTTTTGGACTGTTTTCAGTCCCAGACCAGATCAGACCAGACCAGACTTAGGATGTTTTTACTTGGACTGTAATTTGCCCCAGACCAGACCAGACCAGACCAGTCCAGACCAGACCAGACCAGACCAGACCAGACCAGACCAGACTTGGATAGTTATAAAAATACAAAGAAACCAGACCTTACCAGACCAGACCAGACCAGTTCAGACCAGACCAGACCAGATCAGACCAGACCAGACCAGACCAGCAAATTACAGTCCAAGTAAAAACATCCTTAAACAGACCGGACTTAAACAGACCAGACCAGACTTGGATAGTTATAAAATACACAGAGACCAGACGTTTACCAGACCAGACCAGACTTAAACAGATCAGACCAGACTAGATCAGATCAGACTAGACCAGACCAGCAAATTTCAGTGCAAAAGAAAACATCATAAGACTTTGAACAAATATGTACTCCGTAGCAAATATTTCCTTCCAAACTTTAGTCTATCACTTTTTGGGACCCATTGTGTTTTGGTTATAATCCTGTGAATATAGAGTTGATCTAATAATTGTTGTTTGGTAAAATAAACTTGTTATGTTGCGCCTCAATCACATTTGAGCCATTCGTTCCCTTTGGTGTACCAAAATATCAAAGCTATAATCTTATTAGCAGTTTTAGGTGTGTGTTCGGTTTAATTTTGATCTAAATTAGATACCGAACACAAGTTAGTTAGTTCATTTCACTTCAATTATTTTATGTTTCAAATCATAAAGTCACGGTTTGATTGGTTTAGTATATTATGGTTTGACTTTTTTATTCTTAATCTTAAATTGTGCGAAAGTTTTTAGGGTAATAGTTTTACATGCCTCTCATTACGTACGAAGTAGTATCAATATGCAACAGTGACATGGGTTTTAAGACATGAGCCCTACGTAATATACAAAGAATTTAGATATTTGAATTTTTTATTAATATTTTATTTAGTGGTTGTTAATAATATACCTATTTATGGTTATTTGTGAAATCGGCATTATTATATCTTATTATAAATATATCTGTCAGGACTCCTAAATGGGTAACATCTTCCATTATTTCACATGGTATCAAGAGCACAATCATAACTATTTTCGGCTTCTTGCTAAACCTATATGTTCCGCCGCCACCATGAAGATCGCTACCTCTCCTTCGTCGGATGTCATCGGCTCATCGCCGACTATGGCTGCGGCTTGCACTTTCATATACTACTCCTTGGCAGTCCCTTTGTTTGGCGCCGCTCTCTTTTCCACATCACAACCAGTCTTGCCCTCCATGGAATCTCCATTCCAGGTGCCTTCCTCCTTATAGTCGACTGCTCAGACATTTCCTCTCTTCCAGACTTTGCCCTCAAGTTTTTCTGTGGCAGTTTCCTGATGTTAACTCGTCCCCGTGGGTAGTCCCTCTGCCTTCACGTACTGCATGGTTCTCAGTTCTACGAGCCTACTTTCACGTCTCACCAGGTATTATACGGCCCACCAAGTCAACAATCTTTGGCAGCCCCATGGCCTCCGTGGTGAAATCTCTAGCTCACATCACTAATGTTATCCAAATTGTAACGATTAAGATTAAGGCAGTTGAAGATTTTTTAACTTTGATCCAAATTCATATTTATTACTGTAAGCCTTAAAAGACACATTAACTTTAAGCTGAAGGCAGTTTAACTTAGTTGTACACCGTGTCTACTTCTTGCATAGGTATAGATGATAGTTCCTAATTAGTGTCTTGCTAAGTTCCTTGATCCTAAGAATAGCCTCGAAACTCTCGAATACATTGAGTTATTGTAAGGTTGTTCCAATCTCTTAAAGAAAGTGACCGCTCACCATTCATTGTCGTCTTCACAAGTCTTTCTGATTAGTCACTAGTTCAATTGTGTTTGTTGTCATACCTTCAAGGATGTTGTGATTAATTTTGTCAGTATTGTGGCCAAAGTACAAAGAAGTAGTTTAGGGAAGAATTTTCTTGATTTAGTCTGTCTCTTTTGTGGATATTCCTCTAACTACGTGTACATGCTGATACTTTTAATTTCGGGTGCTGATTATTATAAGTCCCAAAATTCTGTTCGCTTGAGGACAAACAAAGACATATTTCAACACACATTTGATAAGTCCATATTTCCCCACACATTTTATTAAGTGTGGGGACTTTGATAAGTCTATACTTTCACACACTGTATCTAATGCGTGTAGAAATATGGACTTATCAAATTCCCCACACTTAAGTCTTTGATTGTTCTCAAGCGAACTGAATTTCGGGACTTGCAATAGCACACGAAATTAAAACTACCAGCATGCACATGTAGTTAGAGGAATACTCACAAAAAAGACAGATTAAATCAAGAAAATTCTTCCCTAAACTACTTCTTTGTACTTTGGCTAAAATACTGACAAAATTAATCACAACATTCTTGAAGTTATGACAGCAAACACAATTGAACTAGCGACTGATCAGAAAGACTTGTGAAGGCAGCAGTGAATGGTGAGCGGTCACTTTCTTTGAGAGATTGGAACAACCTTACAGTGACTCAATGTATTCGGGAGTTTCGGGGCTATTCTTAGGATCAAGGAACTCAACAAGACACTAACTAGGAACTATCATCTATACCTATGCAAGAAGTTGATACGATGTACAACTAAGTTAACCTGCCTTAAGCTTAAAGTTAAGGTGTCTTTTAAGGCTTGCAGTAATAAATATGAATTTGGATCAAAGTTAAATAATCTTCAACTGCCTTAATCTTAATCGTTACAATTTGCATAACATTAGTGATGTGAGCTAAAGATTTCACCAGGGGGCATGGGGCTGCCAAAGATTGTTGACTTGATGGGCCGTATAATACGTGGTGAGACGTGAAAGTAGACTCGTAGAACTGAGAACCGTGCAGTGAAGGCAGAGGGACTACCCACGGGGACGAGTTAACACCAGGAAACTGCCACAGAAAATTTTGGGGCAAAGTCTGGAAGAGAGGAAATGCCTGAGCAGATGACCATAAGGAGGAGGGCACCTAGAATGGAGATTCTATGGAGAGCAAGGTTGGTTGTGATGCGGAAAAGAGAGCGGCGCCAAACAAAGGGACTGCCATGAAGGAGTAGTATATGAAAGTGCCAGCCATAGCCGGCAATGAGCCGATGACATCCGACGAAGGAGAGGTAGCGATCTTCATGGTGGCAGTGGAACATAGGTTTAGCAAGAAGCTGAAAAAGTTATGTTTGTGCTCTTGATACCATGTGAAATAATGGAAGAGGTTATCCATTTAGGAGTCCTGACAGATATATTTATAATAAGATACTAAGTATAATAATTTCGATTTTACCAATAACCATAAATAGGTATATTATTACCAACCACTAAATTAAATATTAATAAAAATTCAAAAATCTAAATTATCCTTATAAAATGTAAACAATTGACCATTGTTCAAACAAGCCATAAACACCAACTTGATAAAATGGGTGGTGGTGGAGGAGGAGGAGACCTATAACGACACTATTACGAAGGGGCTCAGCCTTTTTTTTGGATTTGTAATCTTCACCTTGATCTGAAAGCCAAAAAGTTATCAAATTTGTTCGTCTATTACATTGAGAACAAAGTATGCCTTTTCAACTAGAAGCGAAACCGAGGCTCTAAAGGCCAAGTTCGATTTCAGGAAGCTTCCCATTTGATTTTAACACGATCACTTATTTATATACGTGAGCGCACGCTTTATCAATTCATCAGAGACTCAATTCATATATGATTCAGGCAATCCAGTGATCCATTATATAGTCATCGAGCACCTGAAGGAGATTCAATGGCGACGTCAGAAAACAGCTTAGCAGAATGCTTCAACCGCCGCCGGTTAGAAATTAAACCTTGAGTGAAAGCATATGTGTTGGCCTGTATCACATCTCATAGATTGCCGGTGAATTATTACAATATAATCTACTCCTACTCCGTATTGATCATTTGGAACAAAATTCTTTTCAATTAAACCAAAAAGGCATTAAATGTTTGTCTATAAACTAGTCAAACTAGTTCCTAACATATGATCAAAATAATAGTGGTGAATAAACAATAGTGATCATGAATAACTTAGGTGTCAATGTTTACAGAAACCATGATTCTTTACTATATTAAACATGTTACTCCCTTCGTCCCAAAAAATACTTTCCACATTGACTTGACATGCATATTAAGGAGGTGAGAGTAAAGTGAAAATGTATGGTTGTAGTTGTGTACAAAAAGCTAAAAGAATGTGAGTCACACAAATTGTCCAAAAATGGTAAGTGGAAAGATTTTTTTTGGGCGAACGCAAAAAGAAAATTGGAAAAATTTTATGAGACGGAGGGAGTATATTTCTGCATATAAGTTTTATTTTATTAACGTTTTTAAAAAACCTCTTAATTGATGTAATTTGGTTTGAGGATTGGAAATGCAAATGATAATATGCATTATTAGAAAGAGATAAACATATACTAGTATAAATTAATAAGTAGAATATCTCTTTTTCTTATTTGAACGATCTTACATTTTTTTAAGTTTTACTTCACAATGTTAGGTATAATATCTAGATGTTGATATTGTGGTTGATATTGTTGAGAAAAAGACTTATCAAAAACACATAAGACCGTCGGAAGAATGAGAGACAAAATGTCATGAATATATTCATATATATATATATGTATATATATATATATATATATATATATATACATATATATATATACCTATATAGGGAGCGGTTCCGGTAAGAACAGATCTTAGGAGAAAAATGAGAACGAATCTGGACCGTTGGATTGTATTATGTGGAACCAAATAGTGCATTTTGTGAAACTGAAATGTGCATTAAATGATATTGAAATGTGCAAAATAAAAATTTAAACTCAAGCGTGCATTAGATTAAACTGATATGTGCGAGAAAAAAAGTGCAAATATATCATCACATCGTGCTTTTTATATTGCACATTTTAGCTTCACCTAGTGCACATTTCAATTTCACGTAATGCACAATTCAACTGCACATAATGTCACTCTATCGTACCCTTTGTGATGCACATTTCAATTTCACCTCATGCACATTACACTTTCATCTAATGCACACTGAATTTCACTTGAAGCAAATCTAACGGTACAGATTCGTTCTCATTTTTCTCATAAGATCGTGTTCTTATTTGAACCAAAACCTATATATATATATATATATATATATATATATATATATATATATATATATATATATATATATATATATATATATATATCTTCCCCGTCACATATACACCATAACCACCATACATATTATAGCATTGGAGATGTTCGTATCTCATAGTATCTCAGTCCCAGTTTAGTTAGGCATTTTTGACTTTTCTAGTCAAAGATGCTAATTTTTTTTTGAAGAAGGTGGCTTAGATTGATATCAAAGCATTCATATAAAGGTTAAAATAACAAAAGAATCACATGCAACATTTGACAAAGCAATATAACTCGTTGATCCTAACTTGGGCATAATTGAGCCAAAGACGGTTATCGCAGACCTCTCGTCACCTAATCATAATGCAAGAGTCTTACATCAAGAAATATAATAAAAATAAATGACAACAGTCTTAACCTGGAAATTAAAGTGCAAAACAGCAAAAAAATAAACACCATAACTTGTTTTATTAAGGATGTTTTTACTTGGACTGTAATTTGTCCCAGACCAAATCAGACCAGACCAGACCAGTTCAGACCAGACCAGACCAGACTTGGATAGTTATAAAAATACAAAGAAACCAGACCTTACCAGACCAGACCAGCAAATTACAGTCCAAGTAAAAACATCCTAAGTAGAAATACCAATCGCACGTCCGGCGGGTCTAGAAGCCCGGACCCGCCACCTCCCTGTTTTTTGGTCTGTCTAGGGACATGCTCCCGCCTCCTTCTTCATCGAAATTCAGTTCGCTGCCCCCTCTTCAATAACCATCTTCTTGTAGTGATTCACATCCTCCATCAGAGCCTTCGGAGTGTTGACGAAACCACTGCCCTACGGTCGATTTGGAAACAGCGCCGAGACTCTAGCCTTGCCGACTCGATTCCGCAGCATTCTTCGTGCACACTTGCGTCGAACGAAAATCACGAAATAGGCTTGGATCATCCACCAAGAGTGGCAACCGTTCTTTGGCATTGCCAAAAACGGAAACAAAAGCTACTCTAGCTGCAAAAGCCCTAAAGATAGAAAGTCAATAGAAGGATTTCTTAGTCAAAGCTGATAAACTTTGAACAATCATTTTTGCTAATACTCTGTATATTTATGCAAAAACTAATATTAACAAAGAACATTTTCATATCATTTTCATATTATCAATACATCTGTATATAAATATATAGAGGCCGTTTGGCAACACTGTTTTTCGGCTTATGAGGCTTATCAGCCAACTTTTTCATCAAAAACGTAACTTTTGATTTCACACGCTGAATTGTGTAATAAGCAGAAAAAGTAAGATTGTAGTTACTTTTCTGAGAGTTTTTTACTAGAATAATGTTAAATTTAAAAATATTTACCAAACTAGTGTGTGGTTAAAAATATTTCCCACAGTAAGGCTAGATTAACTCTAGTTAATAGTAGACGCTGTGGGCAAAATTAGAAAGCTACTCCATACTACGTACGTAGCAATATGTTGCCGCAAAATAGGGAAAAACTTTGGGTCCCACAAATAAACAAATCTCTAATTATTTTTAAAATGCTATAACTTTTTTTATCTATGCTCCGAAAGTTACAAAAATTATATCAGAATTTATAACTTTTTATTATCTTTCAAATGACACCAATATTGAATATATAAAAAATAGGCACTTTAAAAAATAGATGGTATATTGTTTTTTGGATTATTAGCTAAATATATCTCCAAGACTCCAACCATCATCAAATTCACAAATCTATCAAATACTTTCATTTTTATTAACAAAAGATTTAAACTTCAATTTTTCTCACAATTACACTTTCAATGGATTATGATTTAAGAACAAAATCATATTCGTATTTCATAATTTTCAATAGTTTCTAGTTTCAAGTTTACAATTTTGTAATGCTTATATGTAATTGGTTTTGATAAAAATGTGTAGTTTATAACAATCGGAGTACAAATAAAATAGTTATTACATTTTTTTTTAATTTATAACAAAATGGTACTAGAAAATCCCATTTTAAAAAAAAATGTTACTAGTATAATTTTTTTTATTTGTACTCCGATTGTTATAAAAAATGTATCAAGACAAATTTGTACTCAGAGTACAAAAAAGTACTCTGTATAAGATTAACAAAACAAATTTGTTTAAAGTGCTAAATTGTTTTTTTATTTTAACTTATGAAATATTAGAGTCATACGAAAGATAATAAAAAGTAATGAATTTTGATATATTTTTAAACATAATCGGAATACAAATAAAAAAGTGTAACGTTTTAAAAAACAAAATATTTTTAAGGGGAAAATAATTAAAATACCTCAAACTATAAAGAGGTATGAGATAAGCACCCCAAACTTGCATATGTAATTTATATAGAGATAATTACCCTGTGTATGACTAAAACTCAATCAGTTTCCCAATCTATGACCTGACCAGTTTTTTCCCTAAAATAATATTAAAATTCGAAATATTTAATTAAATTTCGAAATAATTAAATAATAAATAAATTTCAGGGACAAATATACCCTTTAGTTATACCTATAAAACCCTAATCTCCTACTCCTTTTTCTCCAACCCTAGCTATAGCCTTTCACGTATAACTTGTGCCACCCACCCCACGCAGCCGCCCTGTCGAGTCTCCGCCTGCCGTCTAGCTGCCGCCCACCATCCAGCCCCCCCGCCTTCTGTAGATTCTAGCCTGGGAGCATAGCCGCCGCCTTCCAAAGATCAATCTCTCGCCTGGGAGCACAATCACCTGACCTGGGTGCCAAATCGTCATCCGACGTCGATGCGTCATTCTCTATCGTTGAATCGGTGACTGGTAGCGACATGAAGGGCGGACTTATGATAGGATTGGAGCTCCAGTTCGTGTGTCAACAAAAACTTCGACCTTGGCAGCAAGCAGTGGCGTCCATGGTGCGGCGACTAATGGGAGAAGCTGGCTTGGGTGAGCTGATTTGAAATTCGATTTGGGGAATCTTGCAGCACGGCCAATTTCAGATCTGGGATATTGAAGCTCTCGAGTCTCGACACTACAAGTCTGGAGGGGGGCCTTCACGATTTGTGGAATTTTGAATTTGATTTTTGTTTTTAGTATTTCTTTTCAATTTAAAATATTCAATTGCTCTGCTGTTCGCAGTGTTTGTTGAATCACGGAGTACCTGCATTCTTCTTCTCATTTCTTGAATTTAGGATTTTTAGACACGGGTAAGACACATTGGCAGTAAAAATGGGCATTAAATATGGGCATTGAATATGGTAATAAATAGTGATGAACATTGGCAATGAACATCAATATATAGGCAGTGTATGAAAGCATTTGAAAAAGTGTTGTGCAATTATTCGAATGCAATAGACATGCATCTTGTACAAAGCAATGAATGAAGGCATTGAGAAATTTTGTTGTGTAGTGATTATGATCTGTATTGCAGTAACACAGAGATGCAATATACTTAATTAGACGTAAAATAATAATATTATTAAATCTAAATAAACTACAAATGAATTCCTCAAGTGAATGAGAAGAGAACTAATGTTGGTGGAAGTGCAATGACAATTACCGCATGTGCAGTAAAGTCGTGCATTAACGACTATAAAAATGCAGTAATTTTAACTGGACAAAATTAGTGCAAAATGCACATATTTTAAATAAGGGCATTCTTGTCATTCAACCATTAAATATAAATGAATTTTCTTTTTTTTTGTTGGATTTTCAGTCATACAAAAGTCTAAAAACTAGTTAGGTCATAGATTGAGGAACTCATTGAGTTTTAGTCATATCTTAGTAAATTTTCCAATTTATATACCCCAAACATTATATAAAATGTTATTTTAACATCATGGTCATGTATAAAATTCTTTCAAAAATGTAAATTTATGGTGTTAATGGCATAACTTAAAATATCAAATTGAAAACTTTGCAATTATATAGAGTGGGAGACTGGGAGTTAATACTACTCCCTCCGTCCCGAAAAGGTTGACCAGAGTTGACTTTCACGTGGATTTATAAAGTAAAAATTGTGTGGTTGAAATTTGTGCAGAGGAGAAAGAATTAACTTTAGCCTGTTCCTTAATTTAAATGGAAATGGCCAATCTTTTTGGGACATCCAAAAAAGAAATTTGGCCAACCTTTTCGGGACGGATGGAGTATTTATTTTACAATGGAAGTTTAGAATGTTAATTGTATCTTCATGAATGCTAAAATATTTTAAATTATGAAATTAACACCAAAAATTGACATCTAAGAAAAAAATAATACATGACTAAGGTGATAAAATAAATATTTATATACAGTTTGAGGTATGTAAATTACATATGCAAGTTTGAGATGCTTACCTCACACCTTTTCAAAATTTGGGGTATTTTACTTATTTCCCCCTATTTTTAAAGTGTTAATTATTTTTAAATTTTATATATTCAATATTGGTGTCGTATGAAAGAGAATAAAAAGTTATAAATTTTGATATATATTTTGTAATAATCCGATTATTAATAAAAAAAGTTAGATCCGTTTTTAGAAAAATGAGGTTTTTCTTTATTTGGGTCCCACCATTGCATCTCCAACGTTATCCTGCGACCTATACACCGATTTTGGCAACCCGAGTTAGACCACCTTAATATTAGGGTGGTTCGGTACGGTATACCGGATATTTTAGCTCATACCTTTACCATACCGTAAATTTTCGGTATGCAAAAATACATACCATTACCATACCGAAATTTCGGTATACCGAAATTTCGGTACGGTAAGGTACGGTATCGGTAAATTATCATGATTTAACATAACAAATTATTATATGTCAAATAAAATATAGAAAATATGTGTTAATAATGATATACTAAAATCATTAATGAAATTAATTGTAAATTACCAATGATAACATATTGGTGTTCTATTCAACTTTGAACAAAAAATATTATAAATATATTTAGATATTTCGACACATAATATATGAAGATAACATCACATTTTGCTAAAATAATTTAAACAACATAAATATAATTTAAAAAACACCGCTTGCCAACAAAAGGTATAAATAATTCAAGAAACATGGATATTAAGTCATTTATCCTTGAATTAATGTTGTGTTTCTAGTTATTTTTATAATTTTAAAGAAATTATTGGCTTGGAATTAAGGTATGACGGTATACCGGTATACCGTTTACTTTCAAAATATATATCGATACCATGCCAAAGTAATTCGGTACGGTATCATACCGTACCAAAAGTGTCGGTATACCAACCATTTCGGTAAATTCGGTATTTTTCGATATGGTAAGTCCGGTATACCGAAATTTCGGTATTTTTCCCCACCCCTACCCAAGATCAATTAGGTAAATACTTTTTTACTCCGTCCCGTAATTAAATTACCACTTTCCTTTTTGAGATGATCCATATTAAAGTTTCTACTTCAAACATTTCCTTATTTGGCTAATGATTTACACCAAAACAGTGCCAAACAGTGTTTAAACAGTGTCAAACAATGTTCAAATAGTGCACTCCACAGTAGAGTCAAATTTATTTCTCAATATATGTGAAGTCAAACTAGGAACTTAATTAAGAATCGGAGGGAGTATTTAGCATTAATTTGAGAAAAATCTCTTTTTCTGGATGTGTTGGCTGAAGTTATTGTAGATGACCATTTTAGCTATTTTTACATATAATTTTTTCTTTATTTTATTAATAAAATATATTTTAAAAATAATTTTTTCTTAAATCAGCAGAATCAGCTAATGCAACCACTTCAGCTAGAATTTCATAAATTTCAGTAGAATCAGCCAAAACATTCGATTATGGTGCTACCAAACGGACTCATAATCAATCAAAGTTAGACATTATTGTCTTGAAAAATCAAATTTGACTTGCAAAAATGAGAAAGAGAGTACAATAAAATATTAAACAGTTTCCAAAAAATAGACACCATTCAATCGGAATATTAGTAAGGTTCTCAATATCTCTGACCCATAAATTTACCACCATCTCCAGGCTTCTCCTAGGGCTAGACATCGGAACACAAAATATTTCTTCCTTTTCATGCTTCTCTCACCAGAAAAATAAAATACAACAGAAATACACAAAAAAAAGATACCCCTCGCAAAAGTTATTCAATTTTTCTGCTTTCCGCTTTCTTGCGCCTTTGAGGATCATAAGCGAACGAAAACCTGGCTAAGAAGAGGTCAGATATCTCTTCGTGCGGTTCTAATTCATACTTGAGCATGAATTTTGTTACCTCTTTAACCGTTAATGAATTATTCCAAATTTGATGTGTATTAGCGGCATTCATGTTTGTATACGAATTTGTATTTTGCTGGACGAAGGTTAGATATGAATTCTTGCATACACGCATTAATTCACAACTGAATGAATATTTGATCTGCTTGTATCATTAGAATTTAGTTTTCCGATTCTATGTATTGCGGCAAATTAGATTCTTACAATTAGAGAGACGAGAGTATGTTCCATATGATATTATTATCAGATCGGCGCATTTTGATGGGAATGTGAAATTTCAAGAATGAGAACCTGAATTCCTTATCCGTGCACCCAACAGATTGTTTTTGGTTTCTTTATTTCACTATTAAGATGGTCTTATTTGGAAATGGTAGCCTTCATATGGTTTCATGGAATGTCATCTGACAGATCACATACTTTTCCATGTTTTATCAGGTTGAACTTTTTAATGCTCTTTGAGGATTGTATCATTAAAGCTAACAAAGATCTTCGTCCAGTCTGGCCACTTTAACAACTTCCAACTTTTCTCACACCTCAAGGCAGGTGTGGGGTGAAAACGAAGGGGTGATACTGCTATGTGTTCTAAGGAGATCAAAATCGTCACATATTTGGAGATTGTGCCGTGTGTCTGAAGCATTATCTCATGATTACGGCTAAGATCAGCCTGAAATAAGAATATATAGTTGTTGGTTAAGCTGATTAGCCTTAATGTTAGATGATAAGCAACTTTAAGTAATACTGAAAGTGAGCAGTTTTGATGTGAATTTTGGTTTGTCCTATCAGAATGGTTAGATTTTCCTGCTTCCATGCTCACATCCACTCCCATAAACAAAAGGTTTGAAGCTCATTTTTTTTTTTGCCTTTTGGGGTTATGCATTCATTTGCTTATACTTGTTCCCTAACTGATATATCTCCATCAGAAAACAGTCCAAATGTCTGCTGAAGTAATACAGAAGAGGCTGGAAGGTCATTCTGAGAATCATTCCCTGAAGGATTTTAGTTATTGCGAAGCAACCAGTCCACTTCATTCAAAGAGCGTGAGCAATGTTTTGGATATTTACTCTGGCCACGTCATAGATTCTTCTTCTAATGGGCATGGTTGTAAATCTGAAGAGATCGAGGATGAGTACAAAAGTGAATGCAATGCAAGTGGTGATCACAACAAGACTGCTGATATTAAAAAATGTAGATCTTTAGGTAGTGGGTTGGGATGGGAAGGAAGGGCATATGATGACTATGATTCAGAGGATTGCAGTCACAGAAGATTTTCATTTGACAACTTTCAAGAGGTTCTTCAACCTTCATCTGTTCAAGTGAGTTCTGGCTCGGCAAACACTGAGTCTATATCTTTGGCCGGAGACCAAAAACAGTCTGAGAGAGAAGAAGACGACCACATGGCACATACGCCTTGCACTTCATTAACTGTTGTAAAATCAACTTCTTTGCCTAACATGCATTGCACTGGCCAGAGTTTCACTCCCCTAGTTCCTTCTCCCAGATCTGCTGAGGATTTGATTGTTCTAGAGACAAGAAAGGAGGTTATGATGGACAGAGAGATACATGTCACGGATCATGAAGAAACAGAGGGCTATATTACAAACATCATGAAGATAACTGGGGAAGACCATGTTGGTGAAGTTTATGACAGTTATAACTATGCAGGGTCCGCAAAAGATTGGATTCTGCCTGCTTCAGAGAATATTAATGGAAAGTCATTGTTTTGCCAGTTAAACGAGTTACCGAGCAAAGATTTTAGGCTAAAGCGAATTGAGGACTGGGTTACAGATCTCCAGAAGTGTGGCCCTCCTGAAGAAGAAATGAATGAAATGAGCGCTCATGATAATGGTGATGAGAAGATACATAAGGAGAAAGTATTCAATGGCTCACCCTCGGTAATGCTGGACGAGAAGGTCAATCCTGGCATGGAAGCAGTTAACAAATATATCTCTTCTTTGAGTGCTTCAGCGACATCCGTTCAACTTGTAAACCATGGTTTGGTTGCTATACCATTTCTCGGCACCTTTTTGGGCCTCAAAGCACTTAACTTATCTGGAAATGCCATAGGTTTGCACTTCATTACACTACTATTTTTTCCAAGAATATTTTTTTACTTATTGTACCACTGCAATTGTTCATGGTTGGTTTGTTGCTTTCTGCAGTAAAGATAACTCCTGGAACTCTCCCTAGGGGGCTTCATATTTTGAATTTATCACGAAATAGTATCTCAACTGTTGAAGGATTACGAGAGCTCACTCGACTTCGTGTTCTTGACCTGAGCTATAACCGAATACAGAGAATTGGACACGGTATGGCTGCATTACAAAAAATTTATGTTTATTATTACAATATTGACAAAACCAAGCAATTGCTGATGCTGGTCATTATTACTGATGGATACCGTAAGTGCATATATCCAATTGTTTAATGGTCATGAATAATTTCTTCTGTCATTCTGTGCATCAGTTTGAAACAGTTTTATAAAAAAAGACTGTCGAATAACATTTACCTTTTTTATTAACATTACAACTGAATTGGTAGGAGAAACTAATTGGTGTGTTTTTAGGCCGGAATGTTTACTCCTTTCCTTGCTAATTCCAATAGCCAAAATATTCCTATGTTTTGTACACATGAGATTTTTTATAAGGAAAACTTTTACTTCCGGTACAACAACACACAAGTCTTAGTCCCAGAAGAATTTGGGTCGGCTAACATATGTGTGCAAAATTTGGGGGGAAGTAAAAAAGAGCTTTCTATATGGGAAAAAAAATTCCTTATGTGTGCACCATGTGAATAAGTTTATTTGCAAATTGGCAGTAAAAACGGGATCCAATAGACAAAATAATTCATGTCTTGTGGTGGTCACGCTTTTACTCAAGGGGCTTTTTGTTGTCTTTGTACCTTTCTTCCGTGATTCTTCCAGTTTATTTATTCCAATCAAGCAAACCACAGGGTTTGGAATCCTCATTATTCCACATATATTCTTCTCCCAGTGGATTTAAATTCATTCCCCCATCATTTCTGCTCATCAAGCAGCCCATGAATGGCTATTACGTTACAAATAACTTATCAGTTGTGGTTCACTTTAAATTGTATGTAGTGGAAAACATTTGGCATATTACAACTGGCATGTCCTTGACCAGCAGATATAAAATAGTGTTTGATATTGGAAACAAACATTGACTAGTGAGCTTGAATGTTGGTAAATAGATTTATCTTGTACTCCGTATTACACATAATAGAGTAATTTTTAATAATTTACATATCATAATGATTTTTTCCTTCAGGTCTTGCTTATTGTTCCTCCCTGCGAGAGTTATACATAGTGGGTAACAAAATTAGTGAGATCGAGGGTCTCCACCGCCTCCTCAAACTGAACGTTTTGGATTTGAGGTATAACAAAATATCCACACCCAAATCCCTGGGCCAACTCGCAGCTAATTACAGCTCGCTCCAAGCTATCTCTCTGGAAGGCAACCCTGCCCAGAAGAACGTTGGTCATGAACAACTGAAGAAACACCTGCAGAGTCTTGTCCCACACCTCACATACTATAACGGTCAACCCATCAAGATTGGAGCATCTAAGGACACATCAGACAGGTCTTGTCGGTTAGGGATTGGGTCCCACCAGGTAGACCGTGGCATTAAAGCAGAACTCAAAGTCGTGCGGAAGGGTTCCACTGGTGTCTCTTCTTCTTATAATAAAGCACCGTCTTCATCAATCCATGGTCGTAAGGCATCAAAAGGCAGACATGGACACTTGGTGGGCCCAAGTGTTGCCCGAAGAAGCACACATCAGCCTCACACCGGTGACCCCAAGAACAGGCTTATTATGAGCTTCAGGCCTGATTCCTCTATGCGAAGGAGCCACAGTGAGGGAAATCTTGGTCCTTCCTGAGGTTATTACTATTAGTGGTGGATTATGTGTTCTGAAAACAATGTTTGGTTGTCTACTCTTCTTTGGTTTTGCTCGTGTTACTTTCTGGTATTGGAATTGTCAATAAAGAGCGGTTTCCAAGATTTTATTATACTTGCTATTTCAGTATTTTGCATTCCTCAATGCTCTATGAAGCATACACATCAATACATGCATCCCTGATGTACTTAAACGACCTCGGTGAAATGTCCTCAGGCTCAATATTTTAGTTAAAGCCTTAAAGGCTAACCCAACTGTTGAGGTTAGCCTGTTGTATTCATTGTTTCGAAAGCATGGGCCCCGAATAAGTTAGCTGTGTCTCAATACATTTGAACAGGCCCGTGTGGTGTGTAGTAGGGCAACCCTTGGCAGGAACAGAAGGATTTGAAAATCAGAAGGAAATGTTAGATGTTTAGTACTATGATCATATATGTGAGCTATTGTTCTACCACGTGAGTTGCATGAGAATGTAGCGGCCAAAAGAATTGCTGATTTTATAGGTAAATACAGATAACAATACGGAGTTTTTTTTTTTAATAAGTTATAACAATAGCTATAACTCAGAATTACAATTGTTATAACTTATAAAGTTCCATTTATGATTGATCTAACTTTCAAAGCAGAAGTACTCTACTACTCACTCTGGCCTCAATCATAGTTAAATTTCAACCTAGATTGGTTCGATCATCTGAAGATCATGCCAAACAATTTTTAACGCAAAATAGATACCATCTTTCCCAACTCTTCCCTCTAATTTTTAATAATTCTCATTGTATGGCTAACAATTCATTGTAGTATTTTATATGCGCGCATTACAGTATCATTGAACCAATGCAGAAAGTGTAATCAGATCATGATCGACATGTTTAATTATTTTTTTAAATAAATATATCTCTAAACTAATTACTCGTATTTTATATACACACCGACATTTAATCTCAGATGTTCTTTTTTAAATATTACTGACATAAAATTAATAGATGGAAATAAGATTAAAATTGCATTGAGTATCATCATGATCACAATAGTGTGCCGCCGTGAAGCCTTGGTCGTGCTCAAATCCAACGTTCTGACTTCACAATCACCTTTATGGATTCAGCTTTCAGCCCTTTCAAGATTAAAGGTTTATCCTCTTCTTTATTAATGAAGCGGTTATGGTAGAGTTTGTTTTATTCGTCCGCCAATTAGTTAGTGCGGAGCTTTGATTTGTTCCTCTTCGGTTGAGTTTGAATTGACTCTTTCCGGCCGCCGATTCAATTAGTGCAAAGCTTGATCAGATTTTTTCTTGCTTCCGGGTTTAATTTTCCCTTTTGAGAGCACAAGGATTGTAGTGTTGGTGTCACTCAGTGTTCTCAGGGAGTCGAAATTTGATTGATTTTGTGTTTTGCTTTGGTAATTTGATTGATTTTGTGTTTTGCTTTGGTAACAACTGTTGTGGTTCGAAGAAAAGGCTACGTGACTACAATAGGCCGATTACTGGAATGACAGAGAATGTTCTGAACAAGGAGCAAGGAGAGAAGAATATGCAATATTGTCAGTCCATCCCCCTCTCGAACCACCGCCGTGGAGGAATGGTGTAGTTAACGTTTGGAAGATGCTGTTTCAAGTTCGGATTCGGGCACACGCGGTTGTACGCCAACAATGGTTATACCCCAGCAAGTACATGTTGTTTTGGTTGTTTTCTTTATTTCTACTAGCAGAACTCTAGAGTTTATGATGAGTGATGAAAGGTCTATTGCGTTCGTCATTAGCTCAGTTAAGGCCATTACAGTATCAACGAGTCATATTACTTTTGTAGAGATGACAGACTCTGAGTCTGGTTCGAGGGCAGACGGTAAGAAAAATGATTTTTTGTCTTTTTGTATCTTGCTATTCAATATAAGTCACTCTCTTCCAAAAACAAAATCATAATCATCATAGTGTAAACTTAAACATAACCATGATCGTCCGATGATAATCACTAAAATATAAAAAAGTCACATTTTCACACTACTTTGTTTTAGTCAAATATTCATTTTTATTCAACATTACAATATAAAGTATCCTTCATAACTTTTAATTCATCTTCACGTACTGCAACGTAACAAGCCAACAACATTGCCTAAGTGATTTTTAATGACATAAAACAATATTTGTCTAGTTTTATCCCTCATTCCCTCATTCTGGTCCTTTAATATAAATACTGTTCATTCACATTCAATATTGTTTTTGGGCTTGCATTCTTGGAGATTGACGGATTTTGGTCGAATTTATTGAAAACTCTGCCCCATTAATCAGAACCGTATTTGATTATGATGACCAAAAAATTATTTAACAAAAATATGAAACTATATGTGCTAAAATCTAATTCGATCATTTGTATGAGATCTAAACTTTTACTAATAAGTTAAAGATGAACATATATTTTTAGTTGAAATATGGAAATTATTGTGTTACGAAATACGATGTTTTCCTATTCATGCAATATTTACAAATACGTGAAATCCAATTTAATTCTTTTAGTTATACTCCGTAGCAAATTTAAACCTATGCGTTACAAGAAGACTCATGTTAGTATGCTACCAGAATAGGGTCGTTGGGGTCCGGACACACCCTATCTTTAAAAATTTATCAAAATTATTGTTGTAGACACCCGCTACAAACACTAAGGCAAACTAAAAATTCATACAAGAGAAATGGTGCTAAATACGACCACAAGTTTCTGTATATACTTATATAGGACTTTGACTTTTTTAACTCTTAAATAGGACTAATTTTTCTGATGTTCCAAATTTGCCCCTTTTATTCGTTTCTTTCCAGACTCCTCGACACCTGGCGCCTATCGGATCTTTCTGCACCCAACTCTTCGTGAAAAGCAAATGTCGAAGAACTGAGATGAAATCTGAAGAGAAGATGTCGGAGAGGAGGAGATGCAGGGAACCGCCAGTGAAGGTGTCGCCGATCAGATCTGACTTCTTCGTTTTCTTCTCTTTTCTCCCCTCCTCTTTTCTTTCCGATGAATCTGGGGAGATGAAGAAAACCATCGCCAAGAAGATGCAGGGGAAGAAGATCCGGGCTGTAGGGAAGCGCCGATGAAGGTGTCGCATGTCTGTCTTCCTCTTTTTCTTCTCCTCCTCCTCTCCTCTCCTCTTTTCTTTCATCGCTGGATTGCCGGTCATTTTTTGTTTCTGATTTCTTCCGTTAGCATTTGAGCTTTTGAGATGCAAATTTTGCCTATTCCAATCAATTGGTGCACAGACTGACAAAACTTGTCTATTCCAATCAATTGGTGCACACAATTGATTACATCAATGATTTTTTCCCAAAATAAATAAATAAATCATTCCCAAATATTAATTTAGATATACGCATTTGCAATATCGAAAGAGAAGGAAAAAATAGTACGTGCTTTGTACATACGAACAAACTCAAAGCAGAGAAATAAGGAATGTATTTTATTGTTATTGACATTTGTATGACATTGTCATCGACATTGCTATTGACATTTTTATGACATTGTTACTGACATTCTTATGACATTATCATTGACATTGTTTTTTTTACTTTCTTATGACATTTTCATCATTACAATGTCATACCATGTAATATTGACATTGTCACTTTTCAAAATGGTGACATTTTTTCTATATTTTGACAACATTTACAATACTATGCATGATTTATTTTAAAGTATTTATAATGAAAAAATAATGTAAAATGTGAATGTTAAAAGATTGAGTGTCAGGATTAACTAGCAAAACCATTGTGGGACCTGTCACTTCCTCCATGGACCAATTAATTCAATGTGAACATCTCCAAAATATGACAAACCAAACCAACGGCTATGGTGCATCTTCAATCTCTCCCCCCAAATCACATACTCCTTCCGTTCTTTTTTAGTTGCAACACTTTTCTTTTTGGGAAGTTTCAAAATAAATGCAACATTACTCTTTTAGGTAAAAAGGAATACCTACAAATGACTTTAATATCCCTACTTAAAACTCATCGTTTCTCCTATTTGTACGTTTCTCCTACCTAATTCGAACCTGCCATTTTTAATCGACCCAATCCCACTTTACATTTCTCTTTCCTAATCTTCACGGACATCAGCTGTCTTCCCATCTCATCACCTATTTTATCTTCTTCTTACCACGTTCTTCACCGATGAAGAAAATTAAATCTCCAAACCGATGGTGAACAGTAAAACCTCCCAATCGATAACAGTGGTTTCAGGCTTCCCGGTGAGCACGTCTTCCAGCGGACAGTTGGGTAGATGCGACTGAAGATGGTGCATCCCAAACCACTCTTGAAATCCAGTCATCCAGAAACAATCATCCGGTTCAAATCAATAATCGGAAATCGTCCATGAATAGTAAACTTCGCAACTCCTAAACTCGTTTTTGGAGTTTCTGGGCTCTAACATCCTTCCACTTTGAAATCTGAGGACGGAACTAGGTTAAGGAATGCTTCGGAAGCGGAAATGATTCATGAAAACCTGGTAGGTTGAAGGGAGAGCAGCTCTCAACGCGTGAAAAATTAGGCATTAAGATTCCTGCTTGTACTTGTATTATTACTCCGTTATCTCTGCTTTATCCAACTCACAGGGAGAAAATAGGAAAGTCACAAATTTCTTAATTAGTGTGCCCACTCTCTATGTTGCATCTAAATAAAAACGGAGGATAGTACTTCCTCCGTTCTTAAATAAATGCAACAGTCAACATTTCACATTTGTCATACTTGCTCCGTTCTTAAATAAATGCAACAGTCAACATTTCACATTTGTCGAGGCACAACATTGACCATTAATATATATAATTCCCGATTAGTAAAAAAAGTTTAAAAAATAGATTTTGAAAATTTATAATGAGAAAAATTTAATAATATTTTTTTCAAAATATATATTATTACATTAATAAATAAAACGTAGTCAAAGTAGAACAATAGTGCAAAAAGTCCAACGTTGCATTTAAAAGAGAACGGAGGTAGTACGCAGTAATTAACTAGCAGCTAGCAACAACATCTGGGTCACCTCCTTATAGACAACCGACGGTCCGCCACCCTCTCTTCCCTGTAATCTCATTTGTTATGGGGTTGACAAGTCAATGGATATGAAACAATATGTTATGCATCTGGTGATGAGCTGGATTACTTAAGCTGGAGAGGGACCCAGAGATGAGCTGGCAGATGAACTAACATTCCAATTGGTTATTTGTTATCTGTTAGTTTGTTAGTAATTAGTTCAGCTCACTTGTATAAAGATATCATTGTATGTACGAACATAACTACTCTGTGAATATGATTCATCATCTTCTTCTCTAAACTTCTTCCCTTTCTGTTCGAATTCATTTCTTGAATTCCTATTCTCTTGGCTTCTCGGTTAACACCCTGGAACCATACCAATTGGTATCAGAGACTTGATCTTGGCACTCACCTTCTGCCAATTCTTCACATACGAAGACAGTCACATCCATCCTGGCGAAGAAACATACTGTTGCTGCTCTAACGGCGATTATGGAGGAGAAATTAGCAGAATTAGAGACTCGATTGGAAGAACAAGCTAGAAGAAGCGAACTTAAGGCTATGGAAACTTCTCAAAAGTTGGATGCCTTGATGCTTCTTCTCCAACAGAAACAAGACGAAGAAGGCAGTAGCTCTCATCGTTCGATACACTCGCACGAGAGGAGTCATCAGTTTCAGGGAGGTAACTCTAATCGAAACTTAGGTTTCGTTCCCAAGATTGAATTTCCTCCTTTCTCCGGCAATAACCCTAGAAATTGGATTCAAAAGTGTGCCAAATATTTTGAGTTGTGTAAAATTGAACACCATCAGAAGGTTGACCTAGCTTCCCTTTATATGGTAAATCGTGCTGAATCTTGGTACACCAGCTACATATCTGTGAATCCAGGAGTGAATTGGGAGCAGTTTGTAATAGATGTTTGTGAAAGATTTAATGAGGAGTTAGGTAGTACTGTTGTTGAGGAATTTAATAAATTGCAGCAAACTACTTCTCTTGATGAATATTTGAATCAATTTGAAACCCTGCGTAGTTTAATGCTGCAAAGAAATAACAGACTTCCTGATGAATATTTCTTGGATAGTTTTATCGGTGGATTGAGCCCCACTATTAAACCTTTTGTTAAGGCATTTAAACCAAGAAATCTGACTAGTGCTATGGAGTATGCAAGGCTGCAAGAGCAAAGTCTTAATGCACTCAAGAAAAGCAACAGAACAGGGTTGGATAATTGGTCTTACAAACCTAGAGATACTATGGGAAATTCTGGGTTTAAAACGCCTCAAAATCCTGTACCCAAGACTGAAGGACTGCTTCCTACCCCATCAACTAATGTTGTACCTTTCAAGAGATCTTCTGTAAATGGGAGAAGAGTCCTACAACCTATAGATATTGAGGAGAGAAGGAGAAAAAATCAATGCTTCCACTGTGATGATCAGTACTTTCCAGGGCACATTTGCAAGGCTCAACTTTACAAAATTCACATCTCCCCTGTGGATGAGGAGCAAGGTGAAGGAACCTTCTATACGGAGTCTGGGTCAGTTGATGTAGGATCAGAAGAGGAGTACCAGGAAATTGCAGCAATGGAGAATCCACCTGTGATCTCGCTTAATGCTATTTCTGGACACCACCAATTCCAAACAATGAAGGTGACTGGAAAGGTTAATAAGAAGGACCTCTATGTGTTGATAGATTCTGGGAGCACACACAACTTCCTAGACATTAACACAGCTAAGAGATTGGGCTGTAGAATCTCTCAGTCATATCCTTTGGAAGTTTCAGTAGCCAATGGGGAGAAACTGATTACTACACAGCTCTGTAAACATTTTAAATGGACTCTACATAATACTGAGTTTGTTGCTGACACCATGCTTGTTCCTTTGGGTGGATGTCAGATGGTATTGGGTATACAATGGTTGGCTTCTCTAGGTCCTATTAAATGGGATTTTGATAAGCTGATTATGGAGTTTCAGTACATGGGAAAAAGAGTGGTATTAAGGGGAAGTAAAAAAGGGGAAATGCAGTGGATTAATGGGAGGCAGTTATGTCAGGAAGTTCAGATAGAAAGTAAGAAATATGGGGGGCAGTTGTATCTTATGAGAGTGCTGGAACAACAAAAGGAAACCCAAGACATGATAAAACTTACTGAAGTGTGCATGCCTGTGGAAATATCTGCAGTATTAACTCAATTCAAGGATGTGTTTGAGGAACCAAAACAGTTGCCTCCTCACAGAGAATGGGACCATCAAATTCATCTCCTACCTGGTACTGCCCCTATAAATGTTAGACCCTACAGATATCCAGTGGTACAGAAAACAGCTATTGAAGATATCACAAGGGAAATGTTGGACACTGGAATCATTAGGAATAGTCAAAGCCCCTATTCCTCACCTGTGGTAATGATAAAGAAAAAAGATGGGAGCTGGAGGTTTTGTGTAGACTACAGGGAACTTAATAAACATACTGTTAAGGACAAATTTCCCATCCCTGTAATTGATGAACTCTTGGATGAGCTAAAAGGATCTCATATCTTCTCCAAAATTGACCTAAGGTCTGGGTATTGGCAGATCAGAATGAAGGAGGAAGACATTGAAAAAACAGCTTTTAGAACGCATGAAGGACACTACGAGTTCTTGGTCATGTCCTTTGGCTTAACCAATGCCCCCTCCACCTTTCAGAGCCTTATGAATTCCATCTTTAAACCCTACCTCAGGAAGTTTATATTGGTGTTTTTTGATGATATCCTGATATACAGTCCAGATGTTGAATCACATGCAGTACATTTGCAGCAGACCCTGAGTATCTTGAGGAATAACACCTTATTTGCTAAACGTAGCAAATGTTCTTTTGGAGTAGCTACTATTGATTATCTTGGGCACATCATATCAAAGGAGGGCGTAGCTACTGATCCTAAAAAAATTCAGGCTATTCAGGATTGGCCTGGTCCAAAAAACTTAAAGGCACTCAGAGGATTTCTTGGACTAACCGGATATTACAGGAAGTTCATTCAAGGGTATGGCATAATCTCCAAACCTTTAACCAACTTGCTCAGAAAGAATGCTTTCTCATGGGGAAAGGAAGCTGAATTGGCATTCTCCCAACTGAAACAAGCCATGTGTCAGGCTCCAGTATTGGCTTTACCTGATTTTGACAAACCTTTCATTGTAGAAACAGATGCTTCTGACCTCGGCATTGGGGCAGTTTTATCTCAAGAAGGACACCCTATTGCTTATTTAAG